CAAGTTAAACAATATAAAATAATTGTTTGCTGCTCTTGGCTCATCAAACTTTCTAGAATATTGAAGCTACTGCTTTTATGGAGAAAATGACACATTCTGACAATATTCCGAACAGTCACAGAATACGGAAATAAATCGAGTAATACCATAAGCCAATATATAAAAGCTGGACTTTCCGTGATAGCGTTTYCGGAAGTAAGTGCTTAAATATCTGCCTATCTATGGAATTTCATACAGTTTGACGACGCATTAATAGAATGATTCGGATGATATTTTTGCTTTTGCATCCGCAGTACGCACTTATCTGGGATTATTTACAGTATGGGTACTTCCAATTTATTTTGAGTATTGCTCAAGTCAATTTAATATTGCTTATCAATTAAATTCAAGCAAAATGACTTTACACACATCAATCATACTTTCAATCATCAATAGCATGCACTAAAATTAGTGTTGCAATTGAAGTTAATTAGAGAACCCATACAACGATGTAAAGGATTATTCCGTAAATCTGGGATTTAAGAAAATGTTGTTTAAGCAATTTTAATTGAAGCTTGTTTTGTACGAGATCACCGACATTGCCTAAATGATAGCCAAATGCATGACAAACGCTACTGCAATCGAGAGATTACATATATGGTTTATCAAGACGCCTAAAGTTGGCATAAAACATGTCTGGAAAATGCAATTAAATTGAAGAATTTTTTTTGCAATTAAGTTGAAGGAAATGTATGTGTAAACACATATATTTTTTTCGTTTTATTGATTTAAATTTGAAACGGTTTATTTTTAATGCATCTTTATTGCCATTTATGTCATAAAAATGGCTTTACACAAAAAAAGGCTGAGAAATTTTGCTTAAAAACCCACACAATCCTAATTCAATAAAAACATTTTTCAACGAAAGCTTTACAAAAACAGATTATGCGATTTATTTAAAACTATTTATTGATTAAGATTTGTATGTGCTTTTTTATTTTTAGAGAAAAATTCTGAAATTTCTGACCGAAAAAGAGTTTAGGAACTATGAGGCCTAGTAATAGTGATTTTCAAAAGTGATTTTCAAAAGTTTCAAAAGTCTGGTTTATCTGGTTTTGATGATCAAAGTCCTGCTTATATTTTGGAATTTTGAGAGAATAATGAGTGGGGATTTGTTCGTTTGTAAAATTAATGTTTTAATAAACAGGCAGTATTGCAGAGATACCATTCAAGGCACCATGAGTGTCTATAAATTCCGTCAAGGGCTTTCGTTCAATAATTAATTAATAACAATATACCAATAATTAAAAATTTTTGTAACTCAATTAATAAATATCAGTTGCCCAACTCCATTTCCTACCATAGATATTCATATAAAGCGTTTTTCAGAAATGTATGTTTTTGCCTATTTTTTGCTTTTAAATCAACTTAAAGATTGCCCAATAATTGTACTCAGCTTATGGGCAATTAATTTCTATTTTTTTCGAGCTGTCTCAACCCATCTCCTGAATTGAGTTTTTGATTTTACAGATACGTTATTATCAATATTTATTATTATTATACAATGTATTAACACAAGTTTTTGACCTGCAAACTGAGAATTTACCCAACTCAAAGAAGACTGGGCGTTCATTGGCTAGAGACTACTGAGCTTTAAGAATTATTTTTATTTTTGAGTGTTTGCCTTTGTCCTTGTTTATTTATTGAATACAAATGTTATTGCATATACATGCCATTTGAGTTTTATTCATCTTTGGTGAGTACAAATATTTTAACTGATGGGATACTATTTTGATCCTCCAAGCAGGACTATCCTATAGTCCTGCTTCTAGGACCAAAATGTTACATCAATTAAAATATTTGTACTCTTCAAAGATACACCATGTTATAAAACATTTATTCGCAACGTTTATATAACATTTAGCATAGCTTCAGTAACATTTCCTTGAAACTTTCTGAGGGCGGACATTTTCAGTTCCACAAACATTTCTGAAACATATAGTGCAGGTTACTGAAACGTTTCGGGATTTTAATATACGTTTCTGAAACAAAAAAATGTTTAGCGTGTAAGTAGGTTTTATTTGCCTAAAAACGTTAAAAATAGTAACGAGTAAAATCTCAAATAAACTGTTATAATGGAATTTTCAAACGACTTCAATAAATACCAGATGGGTTGTATTATAAAGTAATGGATGTTTTTTAGGTAATAACATATTCTTTTATATATCATACGTTGGTTAGCAAATTTGAAAAAAAAACAGGCTTTGCAACTTATCTTCCCAAATTACAAAGACAATTTCTTCAAGATAATATCAGTTTTTCAAAATTTTATGAATAATGCGTATTTTAAGAACAAACAATTGGTATTTGCAACAGTCGAATATAATGAACACGAAAGATTCAAGTATTGGTTCTTACTTTTTCGACGAAATAGAGAAGAAATAAACGGTAGCAGTAGCTTATACTTATAATAAACGACATTTGCGAATGTTAAGTTTATCTAAGTCCCACAACATGACTTTTGTGCAAAATGGAGATCATTTACAAACCAGTTCAAGAACTGTTAAATGCAATATTTTAATATCTTTTTCAACAGTGATTTTGAACCCTTGTGGTCACCGATGGTGGAATGGTGTTATTGGAATTCATTGCAAACATTTTCTCTTGTGATTCTTTCGTAACGCTTTAATAAAAATGTATTCGTTTTAATTTTTTCTTTCATTTCAATTAGTGATAGCAAAAACTTATTAGGTACACAATTAGATGCCTTCTTAAGTGAACCAAATAAATAAAGTAATTATACATATATAATATAGTTGCTTTATTATAAAATGCCAATTGAAACTTTTTGAACCTATTTTTGTATTTAACAATAAAGGTCAATATCTCACTATACAGCAGTTAGAAAAAGAAAATGTACTTTCCTATTTGAAATACCTATGAACCAGGTACAGGACAGCGAGAAATAAATGTATACTTACTTATAATTTTAGACTATACTAAAATATATAATAAACACTGCAAGTAGATCTCATAATAAACACACTTCAACAGAAAAGCGATACAAGATGGTAGTGCTTCCTTTTAGTGGATAGTGAACTTCAAAAATTGTTTATATAAATGTTCATTTAAAAAATAAAAATTTGATATCGGCGCTTAATTGAGTCATTTAAAATAGTTATATACCCAATAATCGATCATCTAATGTTAAAAAAAAACGTGTAATTTATAGCACAACTAACTGTGCAATATTTGGAGGCAAATTCATGCAATTTAACCAAAAATCTGAAAGAAAGCTGTACAAAGTTTGAAGTAGCGTTTGTTACTTTCACAAAATACTTTCACAGTTACTTTCACTAAAACATAGAAGTAAAAATAATTAAAACACCATCGTAAACATTATCTCATTTATTTGAATTACAAAATATAAATGATTTACAGAAATCAAAACAATTTACATATGTTTTCCTTCTACACGGTGTCCCGTAAGCACATGATCAAAAGGATACTGTGATATTCTTTGCGTCAAAAGAAGACGATCTGACCTAACTTTTATTAACTGCTATTGATGGTCAAAGTTCTTCAAAAAATTTATCTTTTTTGAAATATCGGGAGAATGGTACGATTTTAGTGAAACTCGCTGTGGATTTGTTCGTATGTAAGGCTCATATTTTGATGAAACAATTAAGTTCAGCCGTTTTGGACAAGTGGTGAATTCTTGAGTGTCGTGGTACAAAAACTACTAGAACTTTTTAGTTGGAGGATGAAATTAACTCATTTTTTTTAGGTTGATGCACTAATCATTTGTTCACAATTTTGTGCTCTTTGTAAAATCTTGTAGCATTCATAGTTTTTGCGAAAAAATATTATATATATCTAATATTATATAT